TTTCTGAGTTTATCATGACTAGATATTGTATTTTGTCAAATGCTTTTTCTGCATTGACTGATATGTCAATGAGATTTTTCTTCTATAGCCTGTTAATATGGTGAATTACATTTTTTTAGAGCAGTTTTAGTTTTACAGAAAGTGCAGTGAGTACCCATTGTTCCCATATATTCTCTCTCCCTTCTGCAGTTTCTCCTTTTATTAACATCTTTCATTACTGTGGTAACATTTGTTAGAACTGATGAACCAATATTGAGACATTAAGTCTACAGTTTAAAAAGGCTCTCTGGGGGTGTAGTGGTTAAGGCGTTTGGCTGCCTTAACCTTAAAAGGTTGGAGGTTTGAACCCACCAGCTGCTCCGCAGAAGGAGGGCTGTCTGCTTCTATAGATTTACAGCCTTGGAAACCCAATGGGGGTCGCTATGAATCAGAACTGACTCCATGACAGTGAGTTTAGTTTGGTTTTGGTATAGCTGACATTAGAATTCACTCTTGTATGTTGGACGTTTTGAGGATTTTGACAAATGCATGTCATGTATCCACCATTACAGTATCATGCAGAATAGTTTCATCCCGGAAGCTTAAAAAAATATAGATGACTGGGCCCTATACTGGAGATTTTGATTTTAATTGGGGTGGAAGTAGTAGACTAGGCATCAATGTTTTTAAAGAAATCTCCATAGGTAATATTAATGACCAACCAGGGATAGTGAAGCATCTCACTAATCCAGCACAGACTTGACAGCTAATATGAAGGCAATTTGCAGAAAATGCTTGAAATCAAAATACTGGCTAACATTCCTCTATCTGGAGTAGCCTGGAACAAAAAGAAGGTATCTTGGCAGGTGGAAGGACATCACTTGTATTCCCTACACTTTTCCTCAAATGTGCCTGTCTAGCAATTGGTATTATTTAGGTCCTGAGACTATATAAGAGCAGACAGATCTTAATAATATAATCAGTAATCAAAGAAGAACTCAGATATTATTGCTGTATAATGCTTTTATTAAGTACTTTTATGGAAAAAAAAAAAAAAAAACAAACACATTTCTGTGTTACATCGTATAATCTTCAAATGTGTTCAGATGTGAGTCCAGTGACAGATTACATTTGGAAAGAAGCTTTAAAATCCATACTTGTATGCCACCCCTTTGTGAAATACTGAAAAGCAGCTCTGAATATTATCATTAAAGGTTACAAAAAGCACCATTTAAAGGACTCTCACATATTTAATCCCTTTCAAATTATAGTCTTATACTCCATTTATGACAGACAACAGAGCCACCCTCATTCAAAATGCTTCAGTGTAGTAACAACCAACATCCTCCAATTTACCACAATTCACACGTCTCACATATGGGATCCAGTGCAGAGATTAGGACTATTCAGTATCAGTGAGCTTTGGCTGTCCTAAAACCACAAGCTTTGGCTGTCCTAAAAACCAGGCTGAGTCCTGGGACATGAGGAACAGAAAAAAAGGAAGGTGAGCAATACCTAATATAATACCTAAAGTAGGCATCTCTTGACCATTTAACCTTTCTGACACCTATGTAATCCAAGAGGGGTTAGTATTGCACACCAACCCTGCCACAAAAGCACTGTGAACTCAAGTATCAACTAATGCTAGAACCAATAAAGTAATTTATTTAATTTGTATGAAGCATACTTACTTCAAAGTCCGATTGAGAAAAGCAAATCAAGGTAAAACCCAAATTAGAATGCTAGAGGGGGTTCCACTGCTAAGAAATGGACTGCTTAACTAACAGACTCTCCAGTTTCTTTTTCCCCTAATGTAGTCTAAAATACAGTCAGTCTTTTTACTTCAAAAGTTTGGGTTCATTGCAGAAATCATAGCCCTTCCACCTCCAATTTGACAGGTGCCTAAATAGAGACAATGCCTAAGTCTACAGAGTTTTAAAAAACCCTAACCCTTACCCATCCCATAGGGAACTGGAATCCCAGCAGCTTGTAGAAGACAGCAAGATCTTGGCTTTAAGGATGAGTCAGAATAACACAGGAACAAACTCTATGTGCTCTTAAGCCTGTGTCCCAAATGATTAAAAAGTAAGGATTTTAGAAATCTCTGAGAACAGAATGTATTTCAAACACATACAAACATAGAATAGTTGCATATCATTTTAGTTGAGGTCAAAATTTTAAAAGCCCTATTTTCCCAATTAAGCAGAGAATTCTATCATTATAATGTCCCCTTCATTTATACCTCAGATTAATAAAAACCTAGTCTGAAGGTAACACTTCTTTCTAAACTTAACTTCACCTTTGCAGCATACACAGAGTACTGACACTTTTCAAAGGTTCCATCTCAGATCCATTAGGTTTGTAAGAGCCCAGAAATAAATGGAGGGAAGTGAGTGGGCCTGGGTTTGTAGGATCCTCCCAGAAACTTCTCTTGGATTCTTCTTTTACAGAGTTTCTCTATTAGACAAGCACAGATATTTAAAAAAGCCAACACTATCGACACAAGGTTTACTCTTTAGGGGTGTTGATTACAGGGGTTACATTGCATTCAACTCCTAGCTTTCAGCAAGCTAATAACCAAGATCTGGAAGTTCTCTATTCCAGTAAGATGACTATCTGTTTTAGGTAATGGTTGACTCAAGACCCTGATAAAGCCTACCTGACACATGAAGTTAAAGCAGGAAAGGGTAGAGACTAGGAACAAAGAAGCAAAAGGAAGATGTTTTATGTAGTGCTAAGCTTTATACAATGAGATCCAAGGACATCGCCATGTTAACTGTGATTTAAAAAAAAAAAGTGTGGGGAGATATTTTTCAATTCTAAATTATGTGTGTTTTTCTAGTACCACTCTCTCTGGCTCAGTCACTCTTCTTTTCCCACAACCCCCAAACCAAGTTGCAATTCTTTCAGGGCCACCCGTCTTGAAAAGCTATTTTCTTACTTTGTCAAGATTGACTCTGTGAATCTCCTATGTGCCCTACCCACAAAAAAAGATGAAAAAAATTTTATTCCCTCTACCTTTTTTCACAATCTACCAAAATCTCTTATGCAGAAAATAAAAATCTCTTTAACGAACCCATATAAAAAAAATGAGTTGAGTTATACCCTGTGCTACCTTCTTCCCTCCCTTTGTATCCTCCAGAACAGTTTCTGTGGAGACAGACCAGGAGTGTGATAGGCTTTCTGAGGACCACATAATGCACTTACAGTATAAAGAAGGGACAGTACTGAATGAACCATTACCCAGTTCCTCTTACCCGTCCCTTTGTATACCAGCTAGCTGACAGATTATCTCAGAACTTGGCAAACTGATATTCTCTGCACATTTCCACATTAGAAGGATCTAAAGGACACCAGCACCAAAACCTACTGTCACTGGAGCCAGACCCAGTTTACAGAAGCCTCAGGCCTGAGAGAAATTGAAGGGAATCTCTTTTCCTGCCCCATTCTACTGATATACCTGTGCGGAGTAAAAAATTTTAATACATGAACACACAGACGATTATATTCAGCTCTGTTTACATGATATATAACAAAATTCTCCATGGAACAAGGAATTAAAATCTTCATAAATGGCCACATATTTAATGGGTATTGAATAAAAACAAAATTCTAGTAAAACTGAAGACTACATAAAACCTGAGAATTGTTTGTAACAGGAGCTGACCTGGATTTTTAAAATGGCACACCATTCAAAAAGTGGTTGGGACCATAAAAGGTTCCCCACAAATGCCTTCTACTGCAGAAGGCAGACTTGGTTGGTGAAGGAGTGTTCGCTCTCAGCAATGAACCACCTAAGTACCTGTGATTTTGCAATCCCAGGAAAATAACAATCTCACACCCTGTTGCCTCACACCTGGGATTCATTCACGTCTCTGTACCCCAGAGACAACTGTGTTGTCAGCTTTGCATGGGAAGACAGGAGGTAGCTAAACTGACCTGTTAAGTGCCCTCTCACTGTGGCTGGGCTCATCTTAGCAGTCAGGGAGTCTCTCAATCATCAACAGGTGGCCTCCTTCTGTGTTGAGTGTTTGACTTGCATTTATCTGTAAAATGGAAGAGCCACAGATACTTGGAACCCCAGGAGTGGATTGAATAGTTACTCTTCAGTCCACAAATGGAAATCACTGACCTCACTTTATCATCAAACATTTAAAAAGAGGCAGAGGAACAAAATGATCCTGTTAGAGCTTAGTGCAAAGAGTCCTATTTTTCATGAATAGATTACCAGGGTTACTTTCTTGCTTCTTGGCTTAATCCATCTTTTTATTCCCTTTGGAAGGAACCATTTAGGTGTATCAAATGAACTGAGTGAACCTGTGTACTTAAAGCAGTGTTTAATGTCATGCACAGGACCAGTCATACTTATGTAAGATTGTACAGGGCTATACTAGAGAGGAAAATCTTAGGAACCATTTCTCAAGGGCCTGAAGTTTCCAATACAGTCTCTTAAGATTAAGGGAAAGGCATTTTTTTTTTTTTTTAATTAAAGAAAAATGTGGGCACATAAAAATCTTCCAAGGATGTAAAATATAAAGCTTTTGCTTGGTTCCATTTTTACCTTACTTCAGAACTGTCTGCTATGAGAAAAAAAGACATTAAGCATGACTGGGGCAGAAGGGAAAACCCACAAAAATATACCAATGTAGTAAGGTGTCGCACCAAATTAAAACAGCAAGTAGATCCTCTGCACTCTGTCTTTCCTAATGTGGAGTCTTTTCTTTAGTGGAAGTTAAAATAAGCAGTGATAAAGAGGCCTGGGCCTCTGCTGGGCTGAAAAAGAGCCCTTCTGGCCAGCCTAGTTGCTAAGGTGGGTCAGGTCTAACAGAATCTTTCAAAGAGAACACTTACCCAGTGATTTCTGTGTTAGATATGGATCAGGTATGGGATCTGAAGGTTAACAAAGCTAGAACGTGAAATGAGCAGAAAAGGTTCTTGCGGGGCATCTGGTATCATGAAAAAACACAGAGTGTGCCACATACTCTGGGGATACAGAGAACCCATGCAAGACAAGCTGCCCCTGCAGTGAGGCAGCTGTGAGTAGGGCAGCAGTCTGGAAGGATCCATCCCTTGAGACCCAAGGTAGCAGGTATAGAATCTCCACCCACCAAGAATCCTGAGAATTTGCTGTTCCTTCATTTCAGGAAGAAAGCTTCCTGTAGGGTCCTTCCCACAGTCTCCCCAAACATATCCTGGTGAGTGCCCACTGGCAGAGAGAATACATCTAGCTGGGGCTAGGAGGCTTCCAGTAACCTTATTCTCATATATATGTTTTTTTTTTTTTTTTTCTTAAAATAAATTCCACGACTTATAAAGCTCTCATCTGCAATCAAATGCAAAAGCAGAGCATCCTACTCAGAAGCTCTGAAACACACATATTGGCCTCAAAGCAAATTGGCTCCCCAGTCTCAGGTTAAGACTGGCTTAGTCCAGAAAACAGCTTCTCTGGAATCCTGGGAGACAGGAAAGGATCCCTTCAGATAGGCTTGTATAGCAGAGTAGTGACATACTTCTTCTTGTAGCGATGAGTTGCACTAAGGACCATCACACTGTCCTGCAAGGGAAAGAAAAATATGCAGCTAATTCGTTTAGGCTCTTCCTAGCCATCAGTCCTCCACAGTCATTTACTTTTTTCTTCTTGTTTTTATTGTGATTTCGGTGAAAGTTTACAGAGCAAATTCATTTTCCATATAGCAGTTCATACACATTTTGTTTCACGACATTGCTTGCAATACCCATAATGTAACAGTTCTCTTCCTACCTCCTCCCTATGGTTACCTTTTCCCTTTGTCCTTCTTTCCTATGCATTCCTGCCCTGCTTGAGAAATGCTGAGCTATCACCCTGTGCAAATACTGCACTTCTGATCACCCATGGTTGATTGTTCTAAGGGGTGTGTAAATGTTCATCTTATACAGCTATTGTTTGGCTGGAAGCCAAGGGAGTGAGTTCAATTCCAGGCCTGAAGGGTGATTAGGGGCCATAGCTTCAGGGGTCTCATCAGTCTCTATCAGACCACTAAGTCTGGTCTTTTTTAAGATTTTAAATTTTGTTCTACATTTTCCTCCTACTCGATCCAGGTTCTCCTATTTTGATCCATTTCCGAATGGCTGACAGTGGGAGCCAGGCACCATCTAGTTCTTCTGGTCTCAGAGTCGTGTAGGCTGAGGTTCGTATGGTTGCCTAGTACCTTGGGCTAATTGTTTCCATGTGTCTTTGGTTTTCTTTGCTCTGGATGAGGAGAGATCAATGGTTGCATCTTAGATGGCCACTTGCAAGCTTTCAAGACCTCAGTCACTACTCACCAAAATAGGATGTAGAACAATGTTCTTTTCTAAGACTTTTTTCTCATCAATATAAAAGATGTTGTTGTTATGTGCTGTCGAGTTGGACCCAACTCATAGTGACCCCTCCTTGGGTTTCTGAGGTGGTATCACTACAAAAGTAGATTGCCCAACCTTCCTTCCAAGAGTGGCTGGTGGGTTTGAACCACCAGCCTTCTGGTTAGCAGTCAAATGCCTTAGGCACTACACTACCAGAGCTCCTAATATAAAGGATAGCACCTACCACTAAAGTAGTTCTAATGATTACACGAGAATATATGGCTCAATTCCTGACACAAAATAGCCCAAATTCTAATATTGGGCTTAATACTAGCATAAACAATAAATAAATAAAAGGAAAGAATATGCCAGCATCCATTTGCATGTCATGAGAACAGCAACACAGGGGAATGATGCTTTTGTAAAACCATTTAAAGTCCCAAAGTAGATCTAATTTCCATTTAATACCAGGGAGGATCTCACAAAATCCTCTCTGATCTAGAGGGCACTCAGGAAGCCCACACTTAGATCCCAAAGTCCTTCCTAGAAGGACACTCTATCCAATGGATCAATTCCAAAGAGCCTAAACAATAGGAAAAAACCAGGAATGGGTCAAGGTCAAGCTGAAGCACAATGCCAAGGTCAGAACCAGTATGTAGAGAGAAAGAGGTACCATTTCCCAGGCTTATTCTACAAGCCATGGGTGTGCCATAGGAGTAGGTAGCAGACCTGTGGACATCAATGGACAGCCAAGGAGCAGTCAATCAGAGCAGTCAAAGAACCCATGTTAATCCAGTTTTGAAAACACTGTATCCTCCTATCTTCCCCCATACTATATTATCCACAGTGAATGTTTCTCAGGTTAACATTCTGTGACAAGAATATGCTGATTATAGGCCAAACAGAATAGAAACAAGGCAGGCAGGAAAACCCAGTTCCAAGAAGAATTTAATAGAAATGAGGAGCATGTAAGAGAAAGAACTACTTGAAAAGACCTGGTACAATGACATATAGGAAAGAATGTGGAATTAGGATAGGAGGATTGGACCTTAGTCCTGACTCAAGTACTGACTGGCAATCTGACCTTCTCTAAGTCTTAGTTTTTTTAATCTATAAAATGGGGATTCAAATACTACAAGATATTATAAAAATTAAACTCAATAATATATATTTTAAAAGTACCACATAATATATGAACCAGCTGTATCAATGAATTCCCTATCTGGCTGTACATCTAAGAAATATAAACAATTAAAAAAACATATTACTGCATCCCATCATGTTGTTGTTGGGTGTTGTCCAGTCAATTCCAACTCATAGCAACCCCATCGGACGAGTAGAACTGCCTCATAGGGTCTTTCTCCCATGGAGCCACTGCGTGGGTTCACACTGGGTGGGTTATCAGTCAAGTGCTTAACCACTGTGCCACCAGAACTGTCCCATCCTAGATGTACTTATTCAGAATCTCAGGGTATAGAACTTCTGAACCTGTATTTCTGCAAACCTCCCCACATGATTCCAATGACAATCAGCCTAGTTTGGTAAGCACTAAGCTGTATAACTTTATTCTAACAGTTAAACCACATAGACATGATAAGAGATAATAGCAGGGGTATTTTTAACACAGATTCTAGAGCAGCAGAGAAATCAGTGGAGAACTCTAGAGTTAGAGGAGAGAGTAAATCTGGTCACACTTCGACTTTACCTAGTGTATAAGAGAGATGGAAGAACTTAGGCATATGCCCCAGGCATGTGGAAATAACTCATGTCTACCTTCAAGAAAGTGGAAGCCTTAGTATCACATTCAAACATTCTTTGAACTAAAAGTTTAAACTAGCTTTTTCTCCAGATGTGATGTGACCAATTTATTACCAGACCTCTCTGTTTCAAGAACAAAATCCTACTGCTATGAACTCAAACATAAGTATTTGGTACAAAGTTTCTGTTGTTGTTAGGTTCTGTTCAAGCCAACTATTAACTACCCTATGTACAACAGAACGAAATACTGCCTGGTCATGTGCCCTCCTCACAATCCTTGCTATACTTGAGTCCACTGTTGCAGTCACTATGTCAATCCATCTCGTTGAGGTCCTCCCCCTTTTTGGCTGACCTTCCACTTTACCCACCATGATAACCTTCTTCAGGGAATGATCCCCTCTGACAATGCAACCAAAATAGGTGAGACAAAGTCTGACCATTCTTGCTTCCAAGGAGCATTCCAGCTGTACTTCTTCCTGGACGGATTTGTTCATTCTTCTGGCAATCCATAGTATTTTCAGTATTCTTCGCCAACACCACAATTCAAAACCATCAGCTCTTCTTCGGTCTTCCTTATTCACTGTCCAGCTTTCACATGCATATGAAGCTAATGAAAATACCATGTCTTGGGTTAAGTGCACCTTAGCCTCCAAAGAGACATTTTTGCTCCTCAACACTTTAAGAGGTCTTTTGCAGAAGATTTTCTCAGGACAATAAGACATCTGATTTTTTGACTGCTGCTTCCACAAGCATTGACTGTGGATCCAAGTAAAATGAAATCTTTGACAACTTCAGTCTTTTCTCCATTTATCTTTATGCTACTTATTGGTCTAGTGTGAGGATTTTCATTTTCTTTATGTTGAGGTGTAACCCATACTGCAGGCTGCAGTCTTTAATCTTCATCTGTAAGTTCTTCAAGTCATCTTCACCTTCAACAAGCAAGGTGTGTCATCTGCACATTGCAGGTTGTTAATGAGTCTTCCTTCAATCCCGAAACTGTGTTCTTCTTCATACAGTCCTGCTTCTCAGATTATTTGCTCAGCATACAGACTGAATAAGCATGGTGAAAGGATACAACCCTGATACACACCTTTCCTGATGTTAAACCATGCAGTATCCCTTTGTTCTGTTTGAACGACAGCCTCCTGGTCTATGTACAGGTTCCTCATGAGCACAGTCAAGTGTTCTGGAATTCCCATTCTTCATAATGTCATCCATAATTTGTTATGATCCACACAAATGCTTTTGCAGCATCAATAAAACACAAGTAAACATCTTTCTGGTTTTCTTTGCTTTCAGCCAAGATCTACCTCACATCATCAATAATACCCTTTGTTCCATATCCTCTTCTGAATCCAGCTTGCGTTTCTGGAAGTTCCCTGTCAATATACTGCTGCAACCACTTTTGAATAATCTTCAGCAAAATTTTACTTATGTGTGATATTAATGATATTGTCAATTATTTCCACATTCTGTTAGATCACCTTTCTTTGGAGTGGGTACAAATATGGATCACTTCCAGTCAGATGGCCAGGCAGCTGTCTTCCAAATTAATTGGCATAGATGAGTTAAGTGTCTACAGTGTGGCATCCGTTTGTTGAAATATCTCAATGAGTATTCCATCAATTCACTGAGGCCTTGTCTTTCACCAATTCCCTCAGTGCAGCTTTGACTTCTTCCTTTGTACCATTGGTTCTTGATCATATGCCACCTCCTGAAATAGATGAACATCGACCAATTCTTTCTGGTACAGTGACTCTCTGTAGTCCTTCCATCTTCTTTTGATGCTTCCTGCATCATTCAATATTTTGCCCAGAGAATCTTTCAACATCGCAATTCAAAGCTTGAATTTTTTCTTCTATTCTTTCTGCTTGAGAAATACTGAGCATATTCTTTCCCTTTTGGTTTTCTAACTCCAGGTCTTTGCACATTTCATTATAATAACTGACTTTGTTTTCTGGAGCCACCCTTTGAAATCTTCTATTTAGTTCTTTTATCTTGTCATTTCTTCCATTTGCTTTAGTTACTGTCCATTCAAAAGCAAGTTTCAGTTTCTTCTGACATCCATTTTGGTCTTTTTTCCTTTCCTGTCTTTTTTATAACCTTTTGCTTTCTTCATGGATGATGTTCTTAATGTCATTTCACAGTTCATCTGGTTTTCAGTCTCTGGTGTTCAATGTGCAAATCTATTCTTCAGATGGTCTCTAAATTCAGATGGGATATAATCAAGGTCATATTTTGGCTCTCATGGATTTGTTCTAATTTTCTTCAGTTTCAATTTGAACTTGCATATGAACAACTGATGGTCTGTTTCACAGTCTGCTCCTGGCCTTGTTTTGGCTGAAGATACTGAGCTTCTCCATTGCCTCTTTCCACAGATGTAGTCTGATTCCTGTGTATTCCATCTGGCAAGGTCCATGTGCATAGCCACCATTTATGTTGCTGAAAAAGGTATTTGCGATGAATAAGTCATTGGTCTTCCAAAAGTGTGTCATGTCATCTTCAGTGTCATTTCTATCACCAAGGCCATATTTTTCCAACTACCAATGATTCTTGTTTCCAACTTTCCCATTCCAATCACCAGTAATCATCAATACATCTTGATTTCATGTCTGGTCAATTTCAGAAAGAAGAAGTCGATAAAAATCTTTAATTTCTTCATCTGTGGCTTTGATGGTTGGTGTGTAAATTTGAATAATAGTGGTATTAACTTGTCTTCCTTGTAGGCATATGGATATTATCCTATCACAGTCAGCACTGCACTACTGCAAGATAGATCTTGAAACATTCTTTGTGATGATGAATGCCATGCTATTCCTCTTCAATTTGTCAGTCCCGGCATAGCAGATCATATGATTGATTCAAAATGGCCAATACCAGTCCATTTCAGCTCACCAATGCCTAGGATATTGACCTTTATGTGTTCCATTTCATTTTTGACAATTTCTAATGTTCCTAGATTCATACTTTGCACATTCCACTTTTCTAGTCACCTAAAAAGAAGCTGCCAAGCGAAAAAGGCTGTTCCATCACAGAGCAAGTGATAGAGAGACTGATATTGAGACTGGAATTACAAAATAAACAAAAATCCTCAATAGTTAAAAAAAGAAAGTTTGTCCTCTTATCATCCAACCTATATTGCCAGCTTCCCTTGAAGTAGGAGAGCAAGTAACCACTAGAGAGCAAGTGTTACCCTCATCCTGGGAAGAGCCAGGACCACCACTTACCTTAATAGACAATGCATAGAGATGGTTCAGCATAACATGGTTTGGCTCAGGTAGCAAGGCTGGGTCACACTAAGAGAGAAAAAACATCACTACATGGAGTTAAATGACTTAAACAAAAGAGCTTACTCTTCTTCAAAGGTCTTCAGAACTATTCAGAATTGTTAAACTAGGAACGTATTTTCTCTTTTTAAGCAACACACCCATCTTCACCTCAATTTTTATCAGTAATACGTTCTCATTACAGAAAATTAGGCAATTCTGAGTTTAGGGCAGAAAGCCTAAGCTTCAACATGTATGAATCTTCCTTGATAAGGTTAAAACAAAAATCTTTCCCACAGCACACCTATAGATTTGTGAAGAAGTGAAAAATAATCTTAGTGGAATTAACTGGATTGAATAGAAATGTAAATTATTTGCAACCGAATGGAAAAAAAAAATTCTTTCGTATATCTCAAAGTGACAAGTATTGCTTCTACTGTGCTGGATTAGAAGCCCCCCAAAATGATTCTAGGTATCTATAGTTCTGGGTCTGACTGTTTATCAGTAATATATTCTCATTAGGAACAGAAAATTCTGAGTTTTAATATCAGTACCTAAGGAAGCTACAGCACAGAAAAAGGAACTTGTAATGCTATTTATATGTATACAATTTATACTCTGACCACATCTTTGCTCCCAACCTCTAACATTACTAAACTTTGGCCCAAATGGTCCTAGTGACCCCCAGCAGGATACTCACAGAAATGTTAGTGTCCTTGTTAAGAATAACTTGGAGAAGGTGAGGAGGAAGGATGGGTGGGGATTTGAATCTCTCCTCAGATCGAAACACATACATTTCTTGACCATAAGGCCCTGGGGGTGAGCTGGAAAGATCTGGAAGATATTTATCCAGATACGAGGAAAAGTTGGAGAATTAGCAAAAATGCATGGAAAAAACTGTCAATACATGGTAACTAATATTACACATAAGAAACCTTGGTGGCACGATGATAAAGTGCTTGCTTGCTAATGGAAAGGTAAGAGATTCAAACCCACCAGCTGCTCTGCTGGAGAAAGATGTGGCAGCCTGTTTCCGTGAAGATTTATAGCACTGGAAACCCTATGGGGCAGTTCTACACTGTTCTATAGGGTTGCTGCATTGGAATCAACTCAACAGCAATGGGATAGGTTATAATGTCCAGCAAAAGTCATTTTAAAAGCCAGTATAACAACACAAAGGAGCTCTGGTAGCACAATGCCTAAGGCATCTGACTGCTAACCAGAAAGCTGGTGGTTCAAACCCACCAGCCTCTCCACGGAAGACTGGGCAATCTACTTCTGTAAAGATTTACTGGAAACCCAATGGGGGTTGCTATGAGTTGGAATCGACTTGATGGCAGTGGGTTTAGTTTTTGGTTTTATATATAAGACAAAAGGAAAAAGTCGCAATAATACTGTGATATTACACAGTATCTTAAAAATGTATAAACTTGAAACTTTTCAAAGTACTTCCAAGTGTTCTGTCACATGACCCACAAAATATCCATGGGAAGTGCACTAACAATCTAATACAAATCACTCAAGTGAGTCACCCAAAGTCACATATTTGGCTAGATGGTTAACTGAGTGTAGATTAGAAGGCAGTATTTGTAGATTCCTAATAGAATTTATTCTAGGTCTTAGTCCAGTGAGTCAGAAAACTAGAAAAAGGGGAAGGAGAATTAGCAAAAGTATGCTAGTCCTCTCTACCTATTATCGTTATATATCTGTTAAGGAGCTCTGGTGGCACAGTGCCTAAGGCATTTGACTGCTAACCAGAAGGCTGGCAATTTAAACCCACCAGCTGCTCTGTGGAAGAAGATAGAGCAATCTACTTCTAAAAAGATTTACCATCTTGGAAACCCAAAGGAAGTCTCTATGAGTTGGAACTGACTTGACGGCAGCAGGCTTGGTTTTTGGATTATATGTCTATTATTCATTGGTTGCTTTGCTGTAACCATATTATGCAAAAATTTTGAGTCACAACTGACCTCATCATTTAATTCAGTATTTTAAAAACTTACTCATCATTGCACTACCAATCAAGATTACCCAGCTTTACTTTCTGAGTTTATATGATGAAAACAATACTTAATTTTTTTTCCAAAACAAATATTACACTCTTATTCTTTTCAGAACTACATAAACTCCCTTTCTCCCCTGAGATTCTAATATACCCCACTTAAGGTACTGTATCTCTTTAGCTGAGAATCATAGAGAATCTAAGCCTCTGATTTTCCAGATGAGGACATGACAAGCAAAAAAGTTGAGTGACTTGTTCATAATGGTAAATCTAGTTAGTAGCATAGCAGACAAGATTTGAACTCAGAAGGGAGAATTGTTTTCCCTGGGAATACAGGACACAATTCTATAGATAGTCACTGCTTTTAATGTGAAATAAGAAAATAGTATCTTTGAGTACGGTTAGCAAACCCGTTCTGACACTTTAGTCATTGTAAGTAGAGATGAAAGCCTCTGAAAAAATAATATTAGGGGAAGAAAGCATATGTCTTTTCCTCTATCATATTCTTTATTTTACCAAAGAGTTAAAAAATTTCAGCTAATATACACACACAGAATTGTGTTGTTTTTGTTTTTTATCTTTTTTCCCCCAAGGACTGCCATATTTATAAGTATGTGTAGCATGTTCTTATTACATGCGGTTTGTTGATTTTTGACTCATAGAGATATCATGTGACAGAACTACCCTGTAGGGTTTCCAGGTCTTTTTCCCACAGAAATGCTGGGTGAGTTCAAATGGCCAACTTTTCTGTCAGCAGCTAGGCACTTAACCATCGTACTATGATAGCTCCTTATGTAGCATTTAGGACTTACAAAACTGTAGAACTGCCAACCAAGCTCTGAAATTGGCAGAACTAAGCAAAGGAAAGGAGCTCTGGTGGCATAGTACCTAAGGCACTTGACTGCTAACCAGAAGGCTGCGGTTCAAACCCACCAGCCCCTCCTCTGAAGGAAGATTGGGCAATCTACTTCCATAGTGACACTGCCTCAGAAACCCAAGATGGGGTCGTTATGAGTTGGATTCGACTTGACGGCAGTGAGTTTTAAGCAAAGGAAACTAAACAATGGAAATCAGGCACATCAAGCCTCTGCTGGGGACACCACCAAAATGAATAAAAAACTTAAAATATTACTGGAAATAACTGTTCTAACAATAGGCATGGCCCATTAAACCAAAAACTGTACTGCCATTGAGTCAATTTTGACTCATAGCAATGTCACAGGACATAGGAGAACTGCCCCATAGGGTTTCCAAGGCTGTACATCTTTATGGAAGCAGACTGCCTCATCTTTCTCCTGCTGAACAGACAGTGGGCTCAGACTGCTAACTTTTGCTTAGCAGCTGAATACTTTTAACCACTGCACTACCAGAGCTCCTTGGCCCAGTAGTGGGTTATAAAAGAAAAGATAAAATATAGATGGCATCATCTGTAAAAGGGCAAAAATCACAGGATGAGACTTGTCTTACAGTTTTGTGTGTGTGTGTTGGGTTGCAATGCAAAATATGTATCTTGCTGTAGGTCTTAGTTAAAAAATCTGAAATAAAATATAAGTCTGTGATGAACAGATTTCAAAGGGCAGTTCAAGAAGACAAAGTCAATTATTATAATGAAATATGCAAAGACCTGGAGTTAGAAAACCAAAACAGAAGAATATGCTTGGCTTCAGGTCTGGAATTGAACCCATGCCTGTGGTTTCAAGATAAACAAAAGATAGGCATATGAGTTGAATATCTACCTCAGGTAGATACACTCCTTGGAGATAACAATCATGGGAGAAAGAAGGGCTGCTTATACACAGGAAGATAGCTCAGGGGGCAGGAGTGCATGGAAGGATGGACACTGGGAAGAGGTAACTATGGGGAGGAAGTGGGAGGGGAGCTGTTGCATTGTGGTAAACTGTGGTCAATGTCATGAGACAAAGTGTACGTGAATTGCTGTATGGAAAGTGAATTTGCTCTGTAAATCTTCACCCAAGTCACAATTTAAAAAAAAAAAAGAAGAACATGCTTAGCATTTTTCAATCTGAAAGAACTGAAGAAAAACCCAAGCCTTGAGATGCAATACTAAAGGACGCTATGGGTAGAATATTGAACAAGACAGGAAGCATCAAAAGAACATGGAAGGAACGCACAGAGTCACTGTACCAAAAAGAAATGATTGATGTTCAGCTATTTTAAGAGGTAGCATATGATCAAGAACTGACAGTGTTGAAGGAAGAAGTCCAAGCTGCACTGAAGGAATTGAGAGAATACCCATCAAGAAGTTTCAACTAATGGATGCAATGCTGGAGGTGCTTGCCCATTTGTGCCAAGAAATTTGGAAGATAGCTACTTAGCCAACCAACTGGAAAGATCCATATCAGGGCCCATTCCAAAGAAAGTGATCCAACAGAATGCAAAAATTATCGAACAATATTATTATAATCACGTGCAAGTAAAATTTTGCTGAGGATCATTCAAAAGCAGTTGCAGCAACACAGTGACATGGAACTGTCAGAAATTCAATCCAGCTTCAGAAGAGGATGTGGAACAAGGAATAGCATTGCTGATGTCAGATGATCTTGGCTGAAAGCAAAGAATACCAGAAAGATGTTTACCTGTGCGTGTTTTATAGACTATGCAAAAGCATTCAACTGTGTGCATCGTAACAAATTATGGATAACACTGCAAAGAATGGGAATTCAGAACACTTAATTGTGCTCATGAGGAACCTGTACACAGACCAAGAGGCAGTTACTGGAACAGAACAAGGGGATACTGTGTGGTTTAAAATCAGGAAAGGTGCGTATCAGGATTGTATCCTTTCACTATGCTTATTCAATCTGTGCATCGAGCAAATAATCCACGACTCTGGACTATATGAAAAAGAACATGGCATAAGGATTGGAGGAAGACTCATTAACCAGTGATATGCAGATGAAACAACCTTGCTTGCTGAAAGCAAGAGGACTTGAAGCACTTACTGATGAAGATCAAAGACTACAGCTTTCAGTACGGATTACATCTCAGCATAAAGAAAACAAAATCCTCACAATTGGACCAATAAGCAACATCATGATAAATGGGGAAAAGACTGAAGTTGTCAAGGATTTCATTTTACTTGGATCCAAAATCAGTGCCCACAAAAGCAGTAGTTAGGTAATCAAATGACTCACAAATTTGGGCAAATCTGCTATGAAAGACCTCTTCACAGTGTTCAAAAGCAAAGATATCATTTTGAGGACCAGGGTGCACCTGACACAAATCATGGTATTTTCAATTGCCTCATATGCATACAAAAGCTGGACAAAGAATAAGGAAAACCTACTAAGAGTTGATGCATTTGGATTATGGTGCTGACAAAGAATACTAAATATACCACAGACTGCCAGAAGAAGGAATAAATCTGTCTTGTAAGAAATATAGCCAGAATGGTCCCTAGGAGCAAGGATGGTGACACTTCTTCTCATGTACTTGGGACATGTTATTAGGAGGGACCACTACCTGGTGAAGGGCATCTTACTTGGTAAAGTAGAGGGTAGAAAAAAAGAGGACCCTCAGCAAGATGGACTGTGTGGCCTCAACAATGGGCTCAAGCATCGCAATGACTATGAGGTGGCGCAGGGCTTGGAGTGTCATGTTCTTTCATACATAGGGTTTGCTATGAGTTGGAACTGACTAGATGGCACCTAACAATAACAAAAGGCTGAAATGACTTTAGCTTCAGAGAAAGGAACCTAAATGTTTACAGGAGTAACATCTACCATATTTTAACCAAACAGTTGGCAGTTTGAACTCACCCAGCAGTTCCACGGGAGAAAAACCTGGTGATCTGCTCCCATTAAGATTATAGCAAATACTGCGCGTGTTATGCCAGAACTGTTTTACTTAATTTCATCATTTCCAAGTGTTACATGTGTCTGCTCATTATTTACGTGGGCACGTTATTTGCGGGAAATACGGTATATAGGATTCAGAAAATTCTTGAAAAGAAAATGGGGGAAAATACTCTTGAGAAGGGACATATATTACAATATAGACAAAGCAAGAAAGAACTAATACTACAAAATTACCTCGGCAAGATGTCTCTGAGCTTTCCATAGAATCTAGCTTTAAAGCATCAAACACCTCAAAATCCGATTTCTTGACATGGATCAAATTATTAATTGTGCCAAGCTGACTGGTAACCACAGGCTGAAACAGTGAATGCAAAAAAGTCATGAATCTCATTTTCAAATCCATCTCTTCCATTCAATCCTCCTCTCTTGCTTTTCACACTCAGTACTTCCATCTTTTATCAAGAGAGAAATCCTCCAATGTAGGGGAGCTGTCATCCATCAGTCCTGACAGCCAAAGACATTTGACACCAAGGGGAATGGTTACTAAAATGAGACTATTAAATCAATGGTTACACTTCTCAGTCAAGGCCTTACCTCTGATGGGTCATGAACCCACTGTCCATCCACAAAGAACTTATACTGGTGCTCTCCCTCAGGAAGGTCCAGGATGGCAACAAAATCATTATGGCTACAGAAGAAAACAGAGTCAGACAGAACAAGTTCCTATCAGAACACAGACTACAGACAGCATGTGGCAATCTCATACACATGATCTCCCACATTCTAAGCTGTTATAACTCCCGGAGTAGAAAATAATTTATAAAACCACTCTTCTTCTCTTTATCACCTTGGACATGTATTTGCCAGGCCCTCCTAAGAACTTTAGTTCTTAACTAATAATCAGGAGAAAAAAAATCAAAGAGGTTGATGCCCCAAAATGGTATGTTGTTATGTGGTGTCGAGTTGGACCCAACTCATAGCGACCCCTCCTTGGGTTTCCGAGGCAGTATTACTACAGAAGTAGATTGCCCAACCTTTCTTCTGAAGAGTGGCTGGTGGGTTTGAACAGCCAGCCTACTGGTTAGCAGTCAAGTGCCTTAGGCACTATGCTACCAGAGCTCCCTCCAAAATAGTTTACCTAAGTACAATTTAGCTTCAACAAAACAGATCCTTCATGTGTATAAAAAAAGGTAACAGGTGGGATCAGGATATTGAAGTGCCTCAAGATACCCTTTCCATATTTTAGTGAGCCTTTTCTGGCAAACTACCTACCAAGGAAGGGCCATGTTATAACCACTTAAATAATTTATTACTGCTGTATAAGGGACAGATAGCATCACCACCAAGAACTTCACAATGTGTTCTGCATTAATGCCGATGTCAGAGCAGCTGGACTCAGCCAGATACAGAAGACTTTCCACAAGCACAGAAAAGACTTGTGTTAGCACAGTCCTGAAGAAGGTACTCAAAAGATTTTAAGTTCCTCTGAGGCAATGGTATTTTAAGAGGTAAAATATCTATGACTCACTAAGAGGCAAAAAAAAAAAAAAAAAAAAGAGGCCCCGGATATAGCAAGTGATCACAGGCAAGGTCATGTTCCATAAGAGTCCCCACCAATTGGAGATCAGTCCAGCCAGGTCTCTCTTTTGAAAAAGGAAATCATCTCTCTATTTCTGGATCCTGTAGACTTAACAAAGATTCATGTCTTCACCTCTTAATCAGTGGAATCTTGGTGCTCCAATTGTTGAAAGACCCAGAGATGAAGACTTCCTTGCCTCCTTCAGACCAGCGGATAACAGTGGGTCGGGCTTGCTGTGTGGGCTTTAATGCGTCCTCCAAATCTTGCTGCCATGATACAAACTCTTTGTCCCCAGGGATCTGTAAGGAGAATTAGATTATCCCTAGAATAAATTGTACCCAAGGATTCTTAAAAAGTCACTCTCCTTTTAAGACTGAATTATGTCCTCCAAAACGATATACTGAAGTCCTAACCCATGTACCTGTCATTGTGACCGTGTTTTGGGAAAAAGGGTCCTATTTTTAAAGACATTATCAATTATGCCATATGAGAGGGAAGTGGGTCTTAGTCCTAAGCCTTCTGGGAATGTCTTATAATAGGGGAGGACACACATGAAAACAGAGTCATTTGGAACAGTTCCTCTCAAATCCCTTAGAAGAAACCAACACAGTCAGTCCCTCATTTCGACTGCTAGTTTCTAGATCTGTGAGATAATAAATGTTTGTTCTTTAAAGCCATCTACTTTATGGTATTTAGTATGGCAGGCCAAGAAAACCAAGACATCTCCCTAGAGCGTGAAGGGGGTGGTTTCTGCTAAGGATCAATAAGCCCTGGAATCAGCAACTAAATCAAGCTGTGAACAAACTATAGGAAAAGAATTCATCTAGGAACAAAAGTAGTAAAATGGCTATGGCCAATCACTGCCTAACCTGCAGCTTCACGTCCGATTCCGTAAACACCACTCATTCTTTCAGAGCGTTGTTATTAGTTGCTGGTCAGTCGACTTACGACAACACGTTGGAGTAGAACTGCTCTATAGGGCTTCCAAAGCTGTGACCTTTTGGAAGCAGATCACCAAGTCTATCTTCCAAAATTCTTCTCAGTGGATCTGAACCACCAACCTTTGGCTATTTATGTTATCCAGGGATTTTTTTTTTTTTTTTTTAAGGGGGCACTTATTTTTATTATGAGTTTAACTCAGAGAGGCAAGTACGTTTCTGAATGCTTCTTAGCAGAAAGTATATGAAAATAAAGTATGATGTATTAAAAATAATACCCCTATTTTCACTGACAAATATACATAGCTTTCGAATATCAGCTGTAAGGGAAGTCGGAGATAAGTAATTCATAAAGTCCATTTCAGCCAATAGGTTATAAGAAGAATGAACCTTAAAAATTCAAAAACCAGATAATAGATTTCTTAAAATTTGCAAAGTGGTTATGAAATCCTACTTGCCCACCTATGCCAGGTGTCTTGGTTCTCTGGTGGAGCTGTAATAGAAATACCACAAGTGGATGGCTTAACAAACAGGAATTTATTCTCTTACAAGTTTTTAAAAAAAAAAAAAAAAAAAAAAAACCCCAAACCCACAGCCATTGAATCAATTCCAATTCATACTGACCCCCACTGGGTTTCCAAGGCTTTATATCTTTACAGAAGTAGATTGCCTCATCTTCCTCCCATGGAACAGCTGGTGGGTTTGAACCACCAGTTCTGGGGTTAGTAGCCAAATACCTTATCCACTACGCCACCAGAGCTCCTTATAGTTTAGGAGGCTAGAAGTCTGAGTTCAAAATGCCAGCTCTAGGGGCTGGGTGAAGGCCCCTCAGCCTTGGGCTTCAGCACTTCCTCCTATTCCAGGCCTACTAGAGCTGGAGGCTTTTTCTGACTCATGTAGCTGCTGACTGCTGAGGCTGATGAACCTAAGATCGACAGATAAAATGGCACAGTCCCAAGATCAGGCAACGCAACAGGCCACTGGTTCAAGTCCAGGAACAATACCGATTGGCAGGCAACATGGCAGGCCAAGACTTGGCCAAATGCAGGGTCCAAATGTGCCAAAAACCTAGAGACCTTTCTCAAGGCCTCTCCATATATACTGGAAGCAGGCCACACCCCAAAGACAACTACTTAGCTGCTCACAACAGCTAAGGAGGAATCTGCTCATCATGAGGAATAACTATATTCAGGTGCCCAGCCACTCAAAAGCACAGTTCAGCCAAGTTGACAGACAGCCCTAACTGCTACCCAGGTTTATATTAATTATTTCAGGAACAGAGATGAAAATTCTGGAGGCTCAAGAAGTAACAGATCAAAAATATAGCTTCCTTTAACCAAAGCAATTCTAATACCAAATGAGATTTGTAGGATTCTAGCAAAAATGAACTCTTTAAGCACTTTCTTCTCACTACCATTCTTTAGATCATGACCATTCTTTAGATAAATGACAGTCAGTGGCCCAGATTGTTTTGTAAATTAAGTTTTATTGGAACAAAGCCATACTTGTTCATTTCTGTATTGTCTACGATCACTTTTGCACTACAGGGACAGAACTCAGTAGTTGATAAAGAGACCATATGATTTGCAAAATTTAAAATATTTGTTATCTGGTCCCTTAAAGAAAAAGTTTGATGATCTCATCTTGTTGTTAGCTGTCACTGAGTCAGCCTCTGACTCACGTGCCATCCCTATGATCAGCTGGGGCTGTTGTGATCCACAGGATTTTCACTGGCTGATTTTTAGACACAGATCACCAGGCCTTTCTTCGTAGTCTCTTAGTTTGGAAGCTTTGCTGAAACCTGGTTAGCAACCTAGCAACATGCAAGGCTCCTCTGATGGATAGGTGGAGGCTGTGCATAAGTAGTACTAGCCAGGGATCGAACCCAGGTCTCCTGTGTGGAGGGCGAGAATTCCAGTGAACCACCAGTGTCTTACTTTGGACTGGCAAAAATGACTTTGATAAATAGGCAAATAAGACAATATACATTTAAATCAAAATATTACCAAATAAAATAACATGGCTTTAAAAAAAAAAAAAAAAGGACTAGCTTATTCATTTGGGTTTCCTATTCAAAATAGTTGAGGTTATCAAGAGAGAACAGTCCTTGGAGAAGGACATCATACTTGGCAAAGCAGAGGGTTAGCAAAAAAGAGGAAGGCCCTCCACACGATGGAGACACAGTAGCTGCAAGAATAGGCACAAGCATAGCAACAATTGTGAGGATGGCACAGGACCAGGCAGGGTTTCATTCTGTTGTGCACAGGGTCACTATGAGTCTGAATCCACTCAACACCAACAACTTTCCATACTATTTCTCGATATTCCTCAAAACTATACTATGAGACACTTGTTACTGTAGGTCTTCCTCTTTTTTGCTGACTCTTCCTTCACCTTAACAAGCATGATGTTCTTCTCCAGGGACTGGTCCCTCCTGATAACATGACCAAAGTATAAGAGACAAAGTCTCACTATCCTTGCTTCTGGAGCATTCTGGTTGTACTTTTTCCAAGATGTATTTGTTCGTCATTCTGGCCCCCCTACCCTATTGCCATTGAGTGGATTCTGACTCATAGCAACTCTGTAGGACAGAGTAGAACTGCCCCATAGGATTTCCAAGGCTGTGAATTTCTTAGAAGCAGACTGCCTCATCTTTCTCCTGCGTAGTGGCTGGTGGGTTCAAACTGCCGACCTTTTGGTTAGCAGCTGAATGCTTTAACCACTGCGCCACTAGAGCTCCTGCTCATCCCAGCAGTCCCTGATATTTCAGTATTCTTTGCCAACACAATCATTCAAATGCATCAAGTCTTCTTTGGTCTTCCTTATTCATTGTCCAGCTTTCTCATGTATTATTAAACACTGGTAGCAGTATAATCCAAAGTAAAGGGAGAAAGAATTGAAAGAATTTTCATGTTTTAGAGGCTAGAATCTATTTTTAAAAAGTTTCCCAGATAATAATACTGTGATTGTTAAAATAAACAAGGAAAAAACCCTCACTTTTAGTAATAGTTCCTGAAATATTTACAGGTAAAATATTAGAAGTGATGTCTGGAATTTGCTTCAAAATAATTGGTAGGTGAGTACAGATTAAGGTAAAATTTATTCATGATTTAATAATTATTTAAATCGAGTAAAAGATATATAAGGATTAATTATACTGTTCTCCCTACTTAATAAATTTTTCAAATTTTCCACGTTTTTAAAAATCTCAAGTGATTCTAATGTGCCAGTATTGAGAACCATTGAACTGTCCACTAAAGAAGGATGGCTCCACTGCTACTGTTTCCATCATTAATTTTATGACTTAGGATTTTCAGTTTAGAATTTGAAGGCTACAAGCTATTAATATGCCTGGCTTTGGAGTGAAGCCCATCCACATATGAGATTATATGGTAGGCATGGGTGCAGCTGACTAGCAGAAATTCTGTTTACTCCAAGTTAAATAGTCAGTGAAGCCACCAAGAAAAGAGGCAAAACAAAAATTAGAACCATAGTTGGAAGGTGTTTAAGTAAAATGTTGATGGAAAAAGTGAAGAGAGTAGATTTAGAAGTATACAATTTCGTATTTAAAAGAGATCTTAAAATTACCTAAACCAATTCTGTTATTTCATAAATATCAAGATTGAAGTGAGGGAAAGAATGTTTCAAAACAGGCCCCAATGCAGATTGATTATTGGATTTTATGAAGGACACAGATCATGACAGTCATTGTTTGACAAATACTTAAAATACTGAGTCATCCAAGTAGGAAAAGGGTAAAAATACAATGAGGCAGATCATCTTCAGAAAGCTTTGATGAAGTAAATTCAGACAGCTGCTTAGACAGCCCAGATAATGAAATACCTAAGTCCTGAAGTGGGAGAGGGAAGAAAGGAACAGAGAAGAAACCCCTAGAAATGTTCCCTTCAATTATTTCTTGTTCTGTGATTATTTCCTCAATTCTGCTCCAAGAAAATATACAAACTAAAAACTCCAAAGTTTATGCTACCAATGTGGCAAATAATGCTCTATTTACTGTCTAAAATTCCAGTTTGGTGGGAAGTGACAAGGTGATAAGAAACATCTCTTCAATCCCTCCCTTATTCTATTTCAGCCCATTCAGCCTATCTGGATGCACTGAATATATTTAATGTTGAAAGCTCTACAGTGATCAGAAACATTAGGATGGTAATCAAATTGCTGTCTGTGCCGTCTGTCCTTTCTGTAGGAAGAACACAAGTTGCTGCCTTGGAATTGAGAACTACATCTTGGGGGAAGCTATGGGTTGTTGTTTTTTTAGCCATGGCAACACTGTGAAGTATAACTGGGAAGTGGAGAAAACCTGGAGTCCTGGAATCATCTGCTTTCCTACTTTCAGAGAAATTGAGTGAGTGTTAAAGCAGTACAGCCTCAGCCTACCAACTTCACAACTATGAAGTACACGATGAAATTGATTAGTCTACCAAATGATGTCCTTTATTGGTCTCCAAGACTAAGAGTATCAGTTAGATGCCGTGGGGTCAATTTTGACTCACAGAGACCCCATGTGACAGCAGAACTGCCCCATAGGGTTTTCTAGCCTGTACTCTTCACAGGAGCACATCGCCAGGTCTCTCTCCCAGAGAGGCTGGGTAGATTCAAGCCGCCAACCTCTCCTTCAGCAGCCAAGCTCTTATCCAGGGCTCCTTAAAGTATTCAAAAAAGTGGTTGCTGCAACAGCCATGCCAAAGGGGGAAGAGGAACAAGCTTGCCAAGAAGTTTTCAGGAAAAAGATAATTTACCCACCTCAGGGCAAATTTAGAAACTGTTACCTATGGTCAGCTGCTCTGGCAAACTACCCTGTAAAGTTTTTCATGAGGATTTACAGCTTATAATTAGCAATACTTTTTTTTTTTTTTTTAAAGAGAACAACTATGCATTTTAGAACCAAGGATTCCATGGTGGCTTATTATCCCTCATCCTGAAAATGTGGCAAAAAAAGAAGAAAATCAGAAAACCTAGAACTGTCTCTATCCTATTTTAAGGTAGCACCGCAAAAAAAAATTTCATCCACCACTCACGACCCTGGAAAACCCCTGTAATTCAAAATACCGTAACCCAAGTCAGAGCGAGGAGAAAGAAGTAAGGGAGGAGCCGGTAAATCCAGTCCATTGAAGCGTAGTCACTCCGAATGCGGGCGAGCTTACCTTGGAGTCCGGCAGGCTGAAGACGCTGGGGTCATCAATGCTCCCCACCATGATCTTGTGCTCCTTGCCCGGGGCATGGCCACCGGCACCCTCGGCGCGCGCTGCCTTGGCGCCGTGGCGCTCCCCGGACACCCGTTCGCTGGTGGTGTTTCCCATGACTGCGGCTCGAGTCGGGAGCCACCTGCCGCAGAGAACCGCACGGTGCGGGGGACACCCCAGCGTCCGCGTCAGGGGCGCCCTGGATCCCGCCCCTGCGCCCTGGGAACCGGGCAGGGAATCCCCACTCCAGGGAATCCATGCCCCAGGATTTTTTCCCTTTCTAGCCTCTAGGAGAGCCCGGAAATCCCTAGGTACCCTCACCGCCCTATCTTCAGGAAACCCGTTTTCAGGAATTCCCCCGTATCCCCGCACTCACAGCCCCCACCAAATCAGCCCCCACCCAAATCACCTCCCACGTTGCCTCCTCCCCGGGCCACTGGTGCAGTGGCTGTTCTGCAGATAAGGCCACCAATAAAGTTATTGAAATTGAAACCGCACCTCGGAGTAATGCCTCGGAGTTCCTCCTAAAATGGCTACAAGGCCAGTAAGCACTGGGTACGCCTCGCGCGCGCCCGCAGCGGCCCCAGCCGCCTCTCTAGCCGCCACCGCCGCCGCCTCAATGGTGAGTAGACGCGCGCAGCCTCCAGCGCCAGGCGGAGGCGCCAGACGCCCAGCCCTGTATTCGCAGCGTGTTGGGCTGGGGCCGCCCCGCCTGGGGAGACGCTGCATCCGGATTGCTGGTGAGTCAGGTCGCTGGGCCTAGCCTACGGAAAAGATCGTGCCTGAACAGTACTTCGTGACCAACTCCTTGACCTCCAGTGCTTAGTAGACAGAGGAGCGGTGCTATTTTCTTCCCGTTCCGCTCATAGGTTTTCCGGGCAGCGTCTTTGTGAGAGGCGATCCCGGAGAGGTGGGCTTCTGTATGGAATTAGAAAACAGGTTTCCAGTTATCACGGTCGAAGTAGTGAATTGCTCAAAGTTTAAGTTATGTGCTGCAAGAGCGACAAGGAAGGGGCAGTGAGCCCATTGGGGCTACAGGGAAAACTTGAAGAAGGGGATGTTGTTGTTGTTATTTGCCATTGAGTCGGACCTGACACATAGCGACCCCTCCTTGGGTTTCCCAGGGCGGTATCACTACGGAAGTAGATTGCCCAACCTGCCTTCCTAGGAGTGGCCGGTGGGTTTGAACCTCCAGTCTTCTGGTTTGCAGTCAGGTGCCTTAGGCACTACACTACCAGAGCTCCTGAAGAAGGGGATAGACCTTGAGAAATAAATAAAATGTTAGTCTCGGGAGAAACTTTGTATTAGAATTATATACATGTTCATTCCATACTAGAAACTTGCTGCTCAATGTGTGTTCCACACACCAACATCATCATCTGAGGTCCCATTCTAGACCTGTTGTTGTTGTTGTTGTTGTTATGTGCTCTTGAGTCTTCTCTGACTCATAGCGACCCCTCCTTGGGTTTTCCAGGCGGTATCTCTACGGAAGTAGATTGCCCAGTCTTCCTTCCGAGGAGTGGCTGGTGGGTTTGAACCGCCAACCTGGTTAGCAGTGAAGTGTCATGAACACCATGGCCACCGGAGCTCCTATCCTAGACCTACAGAATCAGAATTTGCATTTTAACAAGATCCCCAGAGAATATGTGTGCACATTAAAGTATTGAGAAGCACTGCTTTGACCAACTCGCAGAGCAGATACAGATTTGATTCCTCTTCATATTCTGTAGGTACCCTGTGTAGAGTAGGCTTTTAATAAAGATTTACAGAATGAAGGGAGGAACAGTGATACTGTTTACTAACATTTCTACCAAGATATGCCATTTAAGCTTGAGCACAGCCAGTACTGGGTCATACAAGGCTACCCGTTCTAAGTGAGCGGCTCTATTTGTGGAAAAGTTTATTTTTATATTAAGATGAATATCTGCTTGACTCCAACAAATCCACTCCTCCATCTTTTTTTTGTTTTTGTTTTTTTTTCCTGTTCCTTCTAAACTCATTCATTCCCTGGCTGTTAAAGAATTTTCAGAAAAAAGATACAATTTTAGGGGAGGGAACACTGCAAAAAATACAATAAAGTAAATAATAATTTAAAAAAAGGAGGAAAAAAAGATACAAGTTTACTCCAGCCTTTTACTCTGGAATTTTGACTGTTGGGGTAACTTCTATTTGCTTACCTGTGCCCTTCCCCAAGAGCCCTGGTTAACAGCTGTGCTGCTAACCCAAAGGTGGGTGATTTGAATCCATCCAGAGGTTCCAAGGGAGAAAGACCTGGTGATCTGTTCTGTAAATATCATAGCCTAGAAAACCCTTTTGGGCAGCTCTGCTTTCACATGGGGTCACTATGAGTTGAAAATTGATTAGATAGCATCCAACAACAACCTTTTCCCTAGTTTTTTTCCATCTTTTCCAGTAGGATTCTGAAGCAAGAGCCGTGACTTGTGTAATATTCAGTTTTCTAACCCTAGGGTGGTTTATCCTTACTAAATAATACATCTTTGGTATATATTTCCTTGCAATAGATATATATATATTACCTATAGAAAACTTAATTGAGAAATACACTTTTTATAAATGATTCTTTATATATATTAACAAATACATATATGTTAATAAATTTATGTTGTTGTTATTGTTATTTGCAGTCAAGTCATCTCCAACTCATAGCGACTCTATGTACAGCAGAAAAAAACACTTACTTCCTGGTCCCATACCAGCTCCACGATCTTTGCTGTACTTAAGCCCATCACCACAGCCACTGTGTCAATCCATCTCGTTGAGGGCCTGCCCCTCTTTTGTCTACCCTCCACCTTACCAAGCATGACATATTTCTCCAGGGAACAGTCCCTCCTGACAACATGACCAAAGTAGGTGAGACAAAGTCTGGCCATTCTCGTTTCCAAGGAGTGTTCTGGCTGCACTTCTTCCAGGACAGATTTGTTATTCTTTTGGCAGTCGACGATACTTTCAGTATTCTTCTCCAACACCACAACAAAAGCATCAGTTCTTCTTCGGTTTTCCTTATTCATTGTCCAGCTCTCATGCATATGAGGCAATTGAAAATACCATGGCTTGTGTCAGGCTTACCTTAGTCCTCAAGGAGATGTCTTTGCTCTTCAGCCCTTGAAAGAGGTCCTTTGCAGCTGATTTGCCCTTTGCTATATGTCATCTGATGTCCTGACTGCTGCCTCCATTGGCATCGATTGTAGAGCCAAGCATTGTGAAGTCTTTGACAACTTCAATCTTTTCTCCATTTATCATGATGCTGCTTATAGGTCCAGTTGTGAGGATTTTTCTTTTCTTTATATTGAGGTGTAGTCCATACTGCAGACTGTATTCTTCAGTCTTCATCAGTAAGTGCTTCAAGTCATCCTCACTTTCAGCAAGCAAGTTGTGTCATCAGCATATTGCAGGTTGTTAATGAGCCTTTCTCCAATCCTTATGCCACATTCTTCTTCATGTAGTCCAGCTTCTTGGATTATTTGCTAAGCATACAGATTGAATAAGTGCAGTGAAAGGATACAATGCAATTCTGACACACTCCCTTCTTAATTTTAAACCTTGTGGTGTCACCTTGTTCTGTTTGAATGACAGCCTCCTGGTCTATGTACAGACTCCTCATGAGTACAATCAAGTGTTCTGGAATTCCCGGTCTTCTCAGTGGGTTACCCACAATTTGTTATGATCCACACAATCAAATGCTTTGGCATAGTCAGTAAAACGCAAGTAAACGTCTTTCTGGTATTCTTTGCTTTGAGCCAAGATCCATCTGATGTCAGCAATGATATCCCTAGTTCCATGTCCTCTTCTGAATCCAGCTTGCACATCTGGAAGGTCTCTGTAAATATACTGCTGCAACTGCTTTTGAATTATCTTCAGTAAGATTTTACTTGCATGCATTATTAATAATACTGTTCGATAATTTCCACATTGTGTGGGATCACCTTTCTTTGGAATGGGTACAAATATGGATCTCTTCCAGTCAGTTGGCCAGGTAGCTGTCTTCCAAATCTCCTGGCATAGCCAAGTGAGTGCCTCCAGTGTGGCATCCATTTGTTGAAATATCTCAGTGGGTATTCCGTCAATTCCTGGAGACTTGTTCTTTGCCAATTCCTTCAGTGAAGCTTTGACCTCTTCCTTCATTACCATTGGTTCTTGATCATATGCCACCTCCTGAAATGGATGAAGATTGACCAGGTCTTTTTGGTACAGTGACTCTGTGTATTCCTTCCATCTTCTTTTGATGCTGCTTCCATCATTCAATATT